GTTAAGCAGAATAATAATTTTTGTTTTATCTCGATGAGTGAAAACATTGTATATCTGATGTTTCGTGACTGAATATAAGCCCTTTCTTCAGAGTAAATAAACGACCGAAATTAATTAACACAAACTTTGTACTGTTTAAACTTGTGTTAATTTAATTCAGTTATTTGTTTACTCTGAAGAAGTGATTTATATTCAGTCACGAAACACTCTAAATACAATTTTACTAGTATTAGGGATATATCCAAAAAATATATTTGTCGTTAGTTATTTTAAGATTAACATTATAAACTGCTCTTAGTTAGACGATCTATTACGTTCTATTACGGGACTTGTCAGTGGTGTGAATTCATCATCTCACAAAGCATCGGATTAGAAATATTTGTCTGCTCTTCATTGTGGTGTAAGCACCAAGTGGTACAGTAAACACTTATCCAATTCGGTTTTTTAGCCAGTTTTAGCGTATTACAAGGATTTAAAATCAATTTTTTACCGAACGACTATTAATTTGAACAGCTCTTTGCTAAACAATTGAATATGCCTATTCAGTCTTACAAATATCATTATTTCGCAATGACTTACACAACAAAGTATGCTTTGGAATTTCTATTTTGAACAATAGAAAGTTATTACAATTGGTTATAAGCCAATAATTAGTACAGCTTTATATTTAAAAGAGTATGGTTATATTCATAAACGGTCTATTTTCAGCTGTTAGTATCATTATTATATGACCAACAACTGAATGAAATGAAGTTATCAATTATGAACAATTTTTTGTTTCGGTGTATGTCAGTGTATGAATATGGATCAAGATAAAGATTGAATGTATCTTTGATGAAATAAATTCCATCTCCCATAACAGATAATCACGTTGATTGTCAACCGATAATGGTTAAAAAAAGACTCATTGTTTGAGTAATATTGATACCTCTGTCAAAGCGATTGAAACATTATTATACTTAACGATAATAATAATATTAGTGTACCGAAATAACTGAGCCTAGTTGAAAATCAACTTTCGTTAACAAATAAACTGTTGATTTAAATGATTTATTCAGTGTTGCACAACCTATCATCACTTTTGCAGTAGATGAAGACTCCTCACTATAAATGTAATCCCTATATATTATTAGAAAATCTAGGGAATAAGGGGGGTGGTGGAGATTTTTAGTAATTTTTATATATAGTTGAAATCATGAGCCAAGTAACTCTAGACTACCATGGAAAACCTTGAAGCCCTCCCCCACTATAGGACTAAACGGCCGTCCAGTGCTTCCAGGTTTTCCATGATGTTCTAGCGTTAATTGACTCATGATTTAAACTATATATAAAAAATCATGATAACTTTAGGATTCATTTGTTTAATATTTCAATAAGGTTATTTTGTTAAATGAAAATCACATATTTCATCCAGTAGGCTTAAATCACAAATGCAAATAAAAAAAACATTATTTGCAGGATACCATACTAAATAAAGTCGATTACATTGATCAACACCAAAACGTAGTTGAAAGTTTGAAATATTTAATCAAAGACTTAAATTGAGATTTTACTAAAACAATTTTCTGAAGTAAAACAAGTCTCGATGTATATAATACAATGTCCAGTTGCTTGGACGAATATGAAAAATACCTGTCATGTATGTCACCTTCAAGTATAACTACCAACCTATAGGTACACCATGATGACAGAGTATTCGGTTTTTATTAAGACGAAATAAGCCAATGGAATAAAGTGAGATACATCTCACTCTATTCATTTATTGGAAGAGAACAAGATAAAAACAAAGTCGAAATAACTTTCTAAACTGAAAATTAGGTCCACAAAGAAAGTGTAACTAAACGATAATATAAATTTTATTCTTTGTTTGCAAAAAATAATCCTGTTATTTAATCACTAACTTCTTATTTATAAGTCGACATAATAGAATTAATAGAATCATTAGCTTTTTTCTTTCAATTAGTTGCTAAGCAACTATCGTGTTAAATGTGCTTTCCATTGCATAATTTTTTTAGAGTGAATTATCTAATTAAATGTTATGTACATCGTTAATAGGATTAACAATCTGTTAACGCAAATGATGTCGATTTCACTAGTTATGTAGTAATGCTAGTAACGACTGTGAATAATATTTATTCGATTCATGATAATCCACAAGTTGAATCAAACAATTACCTTTGGAAAACAAGGTTTAATGTTTCAACTAGAGTATTAGTAAACCTGGAGACGAGAGTTAAAATTATGAGATTGGGTAATTTAATTTTAGCTTATCATGATCAATTAAGGATTTTGAAGATCCTCATTTGAGTCGGGTGTATGTGAATCTGTAATTAGGATCTATAATACTATTTCAACCTTTCATTACAACGGAATGAAATAGATATATTTAAATAGGTTGGTTAAGTAATAGTTGAAAGCTAGAAAAGCACAGTTGTATTGACGGTATAATATCTTTTTTTCTTTTTGATGCAATCACCAATCTCACAACTGTAATATGTAGCTTATTTTACATTCAAATTTTAATTCAAAACCATAGCAATGTTAACGCAACTGTTGACATTTTCTTCTTTTCAATGCATCCATATATAAACAACAATTTTCTTCATACTTCAATAGGAATAAACATTTAGCTGGTTCATCTATTCTTCTTCTTTTCTCTTTACTTCATTGCCCAATGTTATTACTTCCTATTTTAAAAAAAAGTTCCGTGATGTCATAGTTGATACGCTTTCTACGAAAAAGGTGAACGTTTGTTAATTGGCCTACAGTTAAGAAATTTATTAGTATGTTGTCAACTTCATTTTGGCTCCTTTTCTCTTCTCTTAAATTTTTCTCCACTTTTTTTAAAAATTAAATTAAAAAAATGTTCTTCTATGATGGTTATTATTTTATTAGATTAACAGTAATGTTCATGTATTTATTAATGAAGAAAAATCGTATAGTTTACAATGTTTTTGAAATTGATTTTGTTTGTTTAAAATGTCAAAAATAAAATTTGTTTTTATGTTTTCATTTTCATATTCATTGTATAAATGTCATTTGGTTATTTACAAAAGAAGGGAAAAAAAGAAATTTGTTTTCCTTTTGGAAACACATCTTGTTGTATCCATTTACTATTGTTTGTTTGAATCTTCTCATTGATATTTAGGACTACAACTGGTCAGTCTGTTATTGGCATATTTGCATCCACCTGACGAGTCCCTAATAGGACGAAACGCGTGTCCTGGAATGCATTGTTAGCCACTATCTATCTTTGCTTATTATACATGTTCTTGTGTTTGGTTTTTTTTAATTTACCATTCCGGTATGGAAAAGTAGCATCGAGAACAATCTGAAGATCATAGTTTCGAAAAAAATAATCTGACTTACTGATCACTTGTTTATTAAACACAACGTGATCTTTTATGTTTAATTGATGGGAAATGATTTTGTTTCGCATATGAATATGGTTCTTATTGGTGACCAATAATAGAATGTGTCTATAATGTTAAATAAACTGATGACATGTCATTCTTTGTCATGATTGTCTTCTTGAATTGACAAATGTAGAGTAAAATTGATTAATTGTTTTAAAAATTGTATTATACATAAGGTAACTAGTTTGATTCATAATTTTGTTAACATTTTATGTTAACAATAGTTTGTAAATAACGGTTCATTTGCTTATTATAAAGGAAAATTATAGGTCAAAATCAAAAGATAACTTTTTAAGTGGACTTTATTTTCTCAACAATGGGAAAACAGTTCATCCGAACACAGAAGTTTGCACTAGGGACTTAAATTAAACTGATTATATAATTTTTATTTCGTAGAATAAATAATTAAAGTATATAAATACGATCTTACAGTGCCAAAGATGAATCAATAGTACTACATCAGCAATGAGTGGTGATCAATAATGTGATAATCTAGTCCCTCAGTGTTGACTAAAATCTATCGATCAAGTATTATGTGTTTTTCCATGAAAAATAATCGTGATTTTAAAAGTATCCGGATAGATTTGAATAAGTATATCATAAATTCAGTTGAAATAAACGTCAGTTTCTACCATAAAGATATTTTGAAGTAATCAGCAGTATTATGAACGAGAACATAATTAAGTTACTATGCTTTATAAGTAACCTACAAAGTAAATTATGTTACTACTAGTTGAAAGTAACTATCAAAAGTTTAAAATGCTAACTACATCTTTTCAAACAGATCAAATCAACTAACAGTAGCATATGATGAAAATCACGTAAATTTCAATAAAACAATAACGTTGGTTATTCTACACATTTATTGACAGAAAAGAATATTCGAAATATCAGAACGGGTTTTGTGGAGATTTTATTGATTTTATAGTTGAAATCATGAATCAACTGAAGGTTGACCACCATCGAAAACCTGGAAGCAGTGGACGGCCGTTTCATCCTTTTATGGGACTCCTCAACAGTGCTCATCCACGATCCCACCTTGCGAGATTCGAACCAAAGACCTATCAGTCTTGCGCACGAAGGTTTAACCTCTAGACTACGGAGCCGGCATCCAATGGTGTTAATGTCTAACTTCAACCAATCCATGGAATTGAGGTACCGTCGAAATATAATTATGAGCTTTAGTGGGTTTCGTGATATGTTCACAGCTTTATTATTATAAGGATAATTAAATGTTTGTTATCGCTAGAATTTCATTTTCTCTTTATTTCAATGAAACTCCTTAAAGAAAGTGTCCGGTATAGGAAAAACACTTTGGTGTTAATGCAGACTGGTATTTTCTTCATTTTAATAAGTGATAAAACGGTATTAGTTATTATTATAATACAAAAAAACTGCAATAGTGTGGCAATTTATCTTATGCTTAATAATATGGTCTTTGCTGAACAAGAAAATGTATTTTTGTGTAGAAAAGAATCCAATGGAAATGTGCTTATGACGACATGATTATGTAATCAGATCTATATTTTCACTTAGTTACAATATTATTCGACAAATATATTTGTTCATCGTTTTTTTTTCCAGAATATATAGATTTTTATTATTGGAGATTCATACAAAATAAGGGAATAACTTGTAATGACAACGTTAACAGAAACAACCTATGCATTTATTAGTAATAATCTACAGGATACATCCAAAAGTTCAACAGTGAGAAAATATGAATTAATTCAAAATGAAGCAAACAAAACTACATGCCATTTTATTAAACAATCATTAAGTAAAGGACCATCTTTAAGAAAATTAAATTCAACAAGAGGTTATTTTTCACGTACACGTAATTCACGAAATGACTGTAAAAATGACGGTATACAGTTAAAACACATTAGGTCGTATACACCGGATAATAATATGAATACATTTGAAAAATATTCACTTTCTCAAGATTCATCGATTCCACCAACAGCATCGCAATCATCAATATCATCACTATCATCTTCATCTTCTACTCGACAATTATCACCAGTCACAACTCCAAAAGCTCCTTTATTAGGTACAAATTATAAACGAAGTTTAAATAAAAATAAAATATTTAGAGATCATTTTGAATCAGATAATATGCTAACTCAAAGTACTCATAACTACTGTGACAAATATGGTCTGAAAGAACAATCAAAGTCCCGAGAACATACATATCATTGTGGTAATACAGCTAATAAACTTCATAGTCCACCACTGTCTGGTTTAAAAATGAAAGCAAAACGCGTTTGGAATGTATTTGAGCGTAAAATAAGTAATAACAATAATAAAGGAATAAGTCAAAGTAAATCTGTTGGAAATCTTCAATATACATCGACATTGTCACCTGCTTCTGAGAATTCGACAATTAATCAAAATGAATCAGATGTCAGAAGCCCACACATTATGCCATCGAAACATCACATACAAGTAAGTAATATTAATACGTTTCTTATGTATGAATAAATTTTTACTAACCTGCCTAAACCATTGAAAACCAAAAGGCACTGGATAGATTAATGTGTGTTCCTAATGTGTGTTCTCGGTATTGTGCATGCACAACCTCTTTTGGAATTAAACCTGGAACTTCTAGGCTAGAATACGATTGTATCATTTTCAGACTACTGATCCTATACCCAATAGTTTACATATCCAAATTTATTTAATTCGAGATACTGCCTAATTATTGTCACACTTATATTAGTGATTGTCTGACTTACCAGTGGCGTGATTTAACTTCACTTGTTAAAGTTCAATTGTTACCTATGAAGACCAACAATCTCCATAAACCCTTAATATTATTAAGTTTGGCGAATAAACATTCTAATTTATTTGATATAATCACTTAAAAACTTCCAGTGTCCTGCGCAAAAACCAGCACAAAGTTTGATACAATTTCGTACACATTTAAGCTCTGCGTAACTGATAAGTTTCAAATAGTGCGAAAACAAAGTTGAGCTCTTTTGTCGACTAATTGAAATTAATTAGCTGTCGAAAATTTTAATTTCACGACCAAACACATAAGCAGCCTTTAACACTTGGAAGCTCAGTTTTCATTGTTGATAGATTTAACCTCTGATAACAGCTAGTGATCGATAATAAAATAACAAGTTTGTATTTAACAGTATAAACGTCGTCTCGTGTTTTAAGCAAATTTTCAACTTACTTACTTACGCCTGTTACCCATCGTGGAGGAGCATAGGCCGCTCACTAGCACTCCATCCAACTCTCTCCTGCGCAATCCTTTCCAGTTAACATTCATCCTTTTCATATCTGCTTCTATTTCCCGGCGTAGTTCTTTGGCCTTCCTCTTTTCCGCTTCCCTTCCGGATTCCAAGTTAGGGATTGAGTCGTGATGCACATTGGTGATTTCCTTAATGTATGTCCGATCCACTTCCAACGTCTTTTTCTAATTTCCTCTTCAGCTGGAAGCTGGTTTGTCCTCTCCCATAAAACTCTGTCGCTGATAGTATCCGGCCAGTGAATGCTGAGTATTTCGCGTAAACAACTGTTTATAAATAAAGTGATATTCAATAAATGTTCATACATTATATTCTTTTTATTGTACACGGTTCTCAGTTCTCTTCACCTACCATTCAAAGGTTTCTCTGGTAGTTTCCAGATTAATTATTTACTTCCAACTAATATTCCTCATTGATAATCTCATATAAGAAAGAGTAGATGTGAAAACAAATAGTCTTTATACTGTTGTTAAGTATACTTCTATTCTGACTACAAGATTTGAGATAAAATTGGATATCATTCAACATCATATGATGTAGAATTAACTAAGTCTAAGAAAAACAAATTTTATGGAATAAATAATACTTGATTAATTTGATAACTGTGTCTAGATGATTATGAATGAGTAGAAACGAATACTAGTTAAAATTGAAACATCTATTCAATCACAAAAAATCTCCCTTAGTGTTGTTTGTTTGAATCTTCTCATTGATGTTTAAGACTCCGATTGATCAATCTCTTATTGGCATATATGCATACTGTACGTATTGCCTCAATATAGACTTAATTCACAAGCATTATAAGCAATGATGGACAATGGCTAGCAGTGGAATCCAGGACGCACGTTTCGTCCTATTTGGGACTTGTCATCTCTATGGGAAGATTCAAACAAACAATACTAAGGGAATTTAAACTTCACCACATTACACAAGCAGGTGGCTATCAGGACTCAGTAGCTGAGTGGATAACGCGATGGCGTTTGAAGCGAAAGGTACTGGGTTCGAGCCCCAGAGTGAACATCAATTCTGATATGCAGGTACATTCGGCTGACGAGCCCCAAATAGGACGAAACGCGTGTCCTGTATTCCATTGCTAGCTATTATCCATCTTTGCTTAGAATCACGAAAATGTTTTTTTTCTATAGATTGTAACATCTTTTACACATATCCAATTCATATTTACTTGAAATAAGCTAACATATTAAGAAAAAAACAATGGAAGTTATACCGAAAGTAATCTATACCATAGATGATAGTTTGGTAAAATAAATTTTTTTTTTAAAATTTGGAGCTGTATATTAGAGTAAGGAAAATCAAAGTAATGAATAAAGATTGTTAAAACTGGGTCAAATAGGATTATAAAAGATAATGCATATCATTAGAATTAGTAACAATGTAAATAAAAGTAGAGGGTGATATTAGATTGTAGACCAATAAATATAACAAATTTTATGTTTCATAGTTTTTTCAAATTCATTTTTGTATCGTTTGTTTGAATCTTTCAAATGATGTTGAGGACTGCAGTTGATCAGTCTCTTATTGGTATATGTACATCCTGTGCGGATTGCTTCAATATTGTCCTAATTTACAAGCATTATAAGCTAAAATTGAGTGAACATCAACTTTGGGATGCAGGTATATCCGGCTGATGCGTTTTGAATAGGACAAAACGCGCGTCCTGGATTACACTGCTAGCCGCAATCCATCTTTGCTTGTGATAATTTAATTTGGTTTGAAGTTTACAACCTGTTAACTTTAGTGATGATACACGGTAAGCGTTATGAAACAATACACAAAGAAGGTTATAGACAACAAGAATGCGTGATGAGGCAAGAGATACGAAATCGCAGTATTACTAAGACAGTTTTTTTCAAATTAAATTATAGTTAATCGTTTTTTTGTGCATTTGAGGCCTATTAGCTATGGATGAAGTTTATCAATTTCTAAGATGGTCTCCACTATCATTTAATTCAGTAAGTTGAATTTCACAAGCATATACGACTTCGGCAGTTCACTTTCACTCTGTACTCGGCATCTCAGTACATTGCCACTATGTTTGAAAGTAAAATATTTAAATAAATTATTTCTTTGCATAATACAACATTTTAAACCTTATATTTAGACTACAAATACCGCGGTTCAAACATTGATTGTTAAAAATCTAAATGTAAGTCAGAGCAATCTATAAAGGTAGCTCTACAAATGAAAAGATTTGTGATTAAGATCATGAATCGAACAATGTTAGACTACCACCAAAAATCTGGAAGCACTGACTAGAGTTTAAGCTTTCGCGCACGATACCAAACGTCTTGGGTTCGAATCACACATGAGGGATCCCAGGTGCGCACTGCTGAGGAGTTTCATACTAAGATCAAACGGCATTCCAGTGCTTCCAGCTTTTCAATTGTGGTCTAACATTGATTAAATCATGATCATGATCATGATTTCTATATGATCAACTACCAATGTTTTCTTTTAATTTATTTTAATTTTTGAAGTGTTGTTACTATAATCTGTTATTTTATTTAATATTCTAGACAGACCACAGTTCTCGTTTACGCCTTAGATCAGAGAAAAGAAGTATTCTATGTTTTCCGCATTCAAAATCTTTTGAAATATCAAGACATCTTGATTCTAGCAAGAAATTAAGCAGATCTCCAGATAATGAACATGTTTGTACAAATATGAAATTACACACAGATAACAACCATGATGAAATGTATGCAGACCTAATTTATTCAATGGGCATAATTCCTCAACAACCTATTTCACATTGTATTAATTCTAGTTCTCATTCTGAAGATTACCCTTATCGTATTTATGATAATGTTACAGAAAAATTAACGATAAAACAGAAAAATAACAATAAACAATGTCAAGAAACCTGTCATCAAAATTATTTAACGTCAAACTTAAAAGATCAATCATCATACACATCAAATCATAAATATGCGGAAAACTGTATTTTCATTTTACCTGCTGGATTACCATTTCAAGAAATACGAGAGATTAGTGTTACGCGCTCTGAGGCAGGACAACGTTTTGGAATGCGAATTGAGAAATTCGGAAAGGTAATATATGAAACGTTATTCTAGAATAGTTATTACAATGTTTTAGGTAAGGAGCCGTTGTTAAAAGGCTGAAAATCCCATATTCTAAGTAAAAGAAAACTATCGCTGAGTAGTATGACACAAATAAAATTATTTAAGTAATTATATTTAGGTGGTTTTTATTGCTGACTAACATTAATTTGGGTACTATTTAAAACAAAGTAGAACTAAACAACTATCTCTTCTAGGCATTTGACCTCACAGTAATGTAATTCCACTAGCTTCATATTACTTTTTTCATCGATGTCTATCTTGATGTCAATCTACCGTAATTCCCCTTTACAAATTAAACGACTGTTCAAAATACTCTTTTCAGTAGATAAGTATGTATTAACATCAGCGAGAACTGAAATCGATACGTTACATTTCTGATAAGGTCATGGGTGTCTGCTGTTGAATTGTCCCAAACTAGGACGAAACAACTGGCCTCTGCCATTTGGTTTCCATTGGCATCTCAACCTATTTCGATCCTGACCGATTACTACATCTGACATTCACAGAACTTCGAGTTTAATAAATATCATTAGATTATCATTACTATGTTAGAATATTGAAAATTGCCTATTTGTATTGGATTTATTATTCATTCGAAGTAGACAAGTTAAGATCTAGACACTTATAGTTTTAATTACACCTTTGCTTTGTTCTACTGAAATCCATAAAGCAGAACAAAACATCTGATATTTAACGTATTTTAAACGTTAACAACTGGGCATTTCTTGTAAACTGCAAATATCAAGTGTGGAATCGACCATTTAATACATAAATGCACAAAATATACGTGTAAACGAATCAATTTTTCCGTATTAAACAATTAACAGAATTAGATTCAATTTGGTGAACATAATCAAGTTGATTGAATTTATGGAATGAAAGGTCATCTATCTTCTATTAATTCAACTACATTACTACTCCTTTATTTTCCTAAAACGAAATGATAACAATTACAGAATGTTCAACCTGAATAATCGACAATTTTGAAACTAGACATCGGAAATATTAATCATTGATATGTTTACAGAATAAATGGTTTAGAACAATATTCATTTTATGGTAGTATACTGAATGTTTAAAATTTTTATATAGTTCGTGAAATGGTGAGACTACAGTTTATGGACAATCTTTGAGCAAAGCTAAAATAACCTTGGAATGTTCGCCTACTTACCAGGGTTAAATGAGTGTTATAGATCAGCGTGAGGAGTTAAGATTAAGATATACAGTTGAAAGCCAGAATTAGAAATTAGATGCGATGTTTTCATCATGAAGTCACACCAGCTATAATGCCAAAATGATATTTAGTCAAGATATACTTTCTTAAATCTGATTGTTTCGTCCATAAATTAAAGTCTCCCTTCATGAAACATCACTGATCGACTGAAACTGAAAGTGAGAAGCATTAAATACCACATCAGAAAATTTTAAAAGTAAAGGACTCTACGAGAATCTCGAAGGTTATATACTTGATTTCTAGTGAAATCATGGCTGTTCACAGATATTCGTTTAACAAATTTAAAAAAATGAACCTTCCAGTATAAGTAAACAATCCATAAATTTGGATATTTTATGATTAGTCTTCAGTTGGAAAATTCATGTGTCTGAATTTTAGAAAAATGTAAAGTTTCGTTTATGTTATTGTCTGAATTTCTAAAGTAATCGAACAAACTTTCATCCCAGTTTCCATTAAAGCACCCTGTTTCTGGTTTGATCTGAACAAGTCTAAATTACTAACCTAATGGATCATTAAATGCATTGAATATATATATATATATATATATATATATATATATATATATATATATATATATATATATTGCATTCTGCGTGACTGTAGACAATTAAAAATTGTATTAAAATGACAAATCTATACTAAACGAAATAAAAGCGTATTGTTCTTTTTGTACAATCAGATAAACCTGCTTTTTTTTACAATGCCCATCAATTGTGATATTTTGATAAATATTGCTAAAATGGGTTTAAAAAGCGATTTTTACCTGACCATTACAAGAATAATAAAAGTATTTTAACAAGACCTATGGAATATGGTATTAAAAACCTGTGCATTCTTTTACTAAATTTATTTTAAAGTGTAAGTTTAACGACCTAAAGGACTAGTGAATTTTGAACTCTGGATAATGAATGTAAAATGTTACTAAAAACCATAGGTTATTCCATCCACTGAATTCAATCATAAAATAAGAAAGGTTAAACTTTCACTAAATTGTGTTATAATAGCTTTTATAATCACTAATTGAAAAGTGAAAGGAGTAGCTAACAACGTGAACTTTCCCTATTAACTCCATATATCCAGTAGTCGAAAATGTAAAAAAAAATTAGGGATAAATATATCATAATCCAAACATGAAAAAATGTAGGTATCAATGTCAAGATTGAACTTGATAGTTTCAAATAATTTGAATATTCGGTAGAAAGTTAAGCAGAATAATAATTTTTGTTTTATCTCGATGAGTGAAAACATTGTATATCTGATGTTTCGTGACTGAATATAAGCCACTTCTTCAGAGTAAATAAACAACTGAAATTAATTAACACATAACTTTGTACTAGTTAACCATGTGTTAATTTAATTCAGTTATTTGTTCACTCTGAGAAAGTGGTTTATATTCAGTCACGAAACATCATAAACACAATATTTCTACTCATTAAGTTCATAACAAAAATATCAATTTATTATGAACAAATGTACTTTTAATTAAAAGTAACATTCCTGAAGAGTTTCCCCTTCAAATTTATTTACCTAACACTTTCTTAAAAATCTTCAATGAATCGATGTTAGTGGAAATTCGAACAAGATAAATTTCAACTGAATCTCTTCCTAACACTTTATAGCAAATTACATTTAATGATGAAGAATAATTTATTTCTTTCTTAAAACTTGGTTCACTTCAATTAGTCAAATACAGTAGTTTTGTTTAACATCAACACAGTCTATTCAGTAGTTGATTGCGTCATAATTGACCATTACAAAATTTCTAGTGATATTAAAATTACATTTTGCAAAATTGTTCTATGAAACATTAGATAGCTATGCTATTGGAAAATATGTAGTTTGTGGTGTTTTGTATACCATAACAATTTCTAATACGTCTTTCTTAAATTTCCATCTTTCCTAAAAATTCACTTTAAAAGTAAAACTACTTTCTTTATATTTACTTGATATTGTTTGTTTGAATCTTCTTATTGATGTTTTGGACTGCAATTGATCAGTATGTTATTGGCATATGTGCATCGTGTGCGTATCGCTTCGATATAGCCTTAATTGACAAGCATTATAAGGAGAAATATATAGTGGCTAGCAGTGGAATCGAGGACCCACATTTCGTCCTATGTGGGACTTGTCGGATGGATGTACCTGCATCTCAGAGTTGATGTTCACACTGGGACTGTTTATATTTATTGTTAACACATAAAATACGCTTATTTTTTAAATAAACTAAAGTTTTTATTTATCTTACTTTCATTTTTACCAATAAAATGTTAATGGAAACTGTATTTGGAGTGTCGTATACTCAGTTTAGTATTAGGATGGAGAATAGCTGGGAAATAGCTTGAAGAAAAATGGTACATCTAATGATAACAGATGTAAATTACAGGATCCACAAATACCAACATGTCATAGAGGACCAAAAGATGAAGCTACAACGGACACTCATATCAGAACACTTCGAAATCTTGACAACAGCCATCGAAATAAACATGACCAAACCATCCAGCTCAGAGAACAAAACTCCATCAAAATCACCCACCTGAGCTACAAATCTTCTCGACCATAGTATTGGTTTAGTTACTTTGATGATTACATTCTGATAATCTGTGTAAATCATTTTCTTAAGCTGAAAAGAGAGAAACATGATGGTTTACAGTATTTTCGTCAACCTAAATGGTAATCTTATTTTGTTTTGCTCACAATGGCACATTTCCTAGTGATTCATAGCATATATATATATATATACATATATATATATATATATAGATATATATATATATAGATATAGATATATATATATTCCTCATTGTTCAAATTGTTATGGGTATTATCGCATCTTATCACTATACTAAACGTCAATACTTAGATTTTAATTCAAAATCTCCTAGTTTCATTTCTTTCAAGTTGGTAATATCCAACATAGAGCTTGTTGAGGACGCGTATCAACTCAAGTTATCATACCACATTAACATGACAAGATGAAATAAACAACATTAGTAGTAAAGGATCTGAAATAATGTAGTAGCGACGATAGTGAGAAAGGCGAGACTATTGAACGAAAAAAAAAGTTATATATGATGGAATAATGGAACAGAAGATTAAATTGAAGATAACGAGTGAGTGTATTTATGCTATCTTCACTGATTCGGAATCATTTCGTCAAAATATGTCCAACCACTAAATGTCTTTATTATTCTAGTCTCAACTAGGTAGTTCAGATCTACCAACATGGCACATACCATTAGTTAAGGTCTACATGAACTATTACCACATTTGATTTAATTATTCCTAATTTTCTTTAAATTTACTGTTACACCAGCCAACCTCTCCTGGTGAGGTAGACAGTAGTTGGACATTTATCGCAAATGTTGTAACCTCACTTCATCAAGGTTATTTATGATTATTTTTATTAATGTTTCACATATTTAACTCATGTATGCTATCCAACTAAATAAATTATTATTTAATTTTAATTCATAAGAGATTGATCAGGTACTGTCCTAAACATCAATGGGAAGATTCAAACAACCAGTATATATGAATTAAAATTAAAATTTACTCATCGTACAAACTAGTGGCTATCTGAACTCGGTAGCTAAGTGGATAAGGCGATGGAGTTTGAAGCAAACTATACTGGGTTTCAGTCCCGGAGTGAATTTCAACTCTAGGATACACGTAAATCTAGCCGACGAGTCCCAAATAGGAAAAAACGATCGTTCTGGATTCCACTACTAGA